ATATATTTGTTTTTTGAGACAAGGTCTCACTATGCAGTTCAGGCTGGCCTTGAACTTGCAGCAGAACTCCTGCCTCAGCCTCCCAAGTGCTGAGATTATAGGTGTGTACCACCACACCCAACTGCAATTCTTATAACATATGGTATATTAAATTTATGGGTTCCAGAGAATATTTTATTTTTCATTATTTGCACTTGTAAATACATATGTCGCTAAGCTATGTGGAACATATCTACTTGTGCTCTCATTTTTGACTACTAGCTTATTTTGTTTTAGTTCTCAATACTTATTTTCAGCCTTTGAAGACATAAAGATTAAAAAAATTGAAATGTCACTTTATCAAACATCACTAGGCTAAAGTCTCCTAGGCATTATATAGATGACAGGTAGAAAGTTTGTCTTTTAGGCTTCAAATAATACATAGACGTTTAGGAAAAAATTTATAACCCATGTTTTCTTTCTAAAATTAGTCCAGGCACAGATGTCACAACAGAGCTGGATAGCTGGATTGATAAGTTTTGCCTAGATGCTGATGTCTTCGTCTTGGTTGCAAACTCTGAATCAACACTAATGAACACGGTAGGATTTAGTCATATTACTGTATTTGGGTAATAGGAAATTAACTGGTCCATTTTAGTTAAGAAAACTGGGGCAATCCCAATCATGGATTAAAAAGAACTTTTAAAATCAGTGGTGAATGGAAGTGTTTGTGTTTCCGTGGGACCAGAATCTTCTGTAGTGATTGCCAGGTTCCTGTAGCAGTCTCTACCTTGGCGGCTTTACAGTGACATCTCGGTTCACAAACTTATTTCTTTCCACAATTCTCGTCACAAGCCGAATTGGTCTTGAGCTGAGTCAGATTCATTGGTTAGATTCATTGCTGGGGAATGAATTCATTATTGGGGAAATTTGGTGGGGTTCTCATTGTGTTTACAACCTGAATAGTGGAAATAATTCAGTTTGTGAACTGAGGTACCACTGTATCTTCGGGTGAATCTTAATAAACATAAGGTGACAAAGTATGTGATGTTGTTGTTTATTTTGAGTAGTTATGTGTCTCAGAAGGAATGGGTGCCAACATTTTTAGAGATTTTTTTTTTTTTCCGGTACCAGGAGTCAAACTCACGACCTTGCGCTTGCCGGGCAGGCTTTGTGCCACTGAGCTAAATCCCCAGCCCCTAGAGACTATTTTAAGTCTGTATAATAAAGGATAAGCCACTTCTGCTCCCATGCCCTGTCATCTGCTAGGCAAAGCTTTTTATGTTTTAAATTCTGTCAACATTTTCCAGCTCTATCCATGTACACTCCAGGTTATAGCCCATCTGTACATATTCAAAACTGCTGTCTAAAAA